TAGGCAGGAAGGAGGCAGATGCAGGAAGTGAAAGGAGACAGAAATAGGACCTTTTATTCTTGGTGCTCAGAGATCCGGGGAGAAACAATCCAAAGAGTCAGGGGTTGAACTGCTTCTTAGGAGGAGCACTCTGACCAATGGCTGCCGCTCCCACCAAATCATAAGCCCCAGGGTCTCTGCCTGCTTCCCCTGTGTTGCTACTCGGGTGTTTAGCACAAAACAGATGCAGAGGAAGTATTTTTCGAGTGAATGAATGAATACGTGATGAATGAATAAATGAATAAATGAATGAACGAATGAATGAGTAAATGATGAATGAATGAATGAATAGGTGAATAGGTGAATGAGGATGGTTTGGAAGGAGGCTGCAGGGGCTGGAAGGCTCTAACTATGGGATAGGACCTGTCTCTAGCAAGGGAGGAAGAACGGAGAGGCACACAGAGCTAATAATCATTCTGGCATATTCGAGGCCACAGGGGAGCATTTCTATATTTCCGCATATTTGAGCATATCTATGAAACTAAAACATTTCTGAGGCGTAATCAGGACTGAGCTGCATTACAAAGCCTGTCCTGCCCCCCACCCCAACCCTGGGAAACACTGTACGTCGAGCTCAGACAGCTGGGCAGTGGGGGGCACTCCTGCCTCATCCCGGCCGGAGCACACCCAGGCCAGGCAGACACGTTCCCCAGCTCGTGCCAGCTAGAGGTTTCGTTCTGGGTTTGGCAGTCATTTTGGGGTTTGTGTGTCCTACAGACATTTAACTCTGTACTTAATTTAGGTTTAATAGGCAGCTATTATGTTAAATAGAGACCAGCTGAACTGATTATTTAAGACATAGTTATGGTTGTTTAACAACTCTGTGGTTGGACTGCTACATCTCAATAAAGGTTTTCCAGTCCTCGGCTATTATTACGAGTTTGTATCTGTAACTGTCCTCACCTGGCCACTGCCCTCTCTTTAACAACTGCCTGGGAGCCTGGGAGCCCCCCGCTCTGCTACCTCCCCCTCCCCCACCGGCCCCCAGTCTGCTGAGTGTCTGAGAAGCCATGAGCATCCAGAGACCGGGAAACTGGAGCCGAGACCACATGTGGCTGGGCAAGAGGGCCTGGCCCTGCAGACAAGGAGCAGGCTCATGGCTACCTGCCAGCCCCAGCCCTAAACCACCTGTCAGCAGGATTCGGGGCTTGTCACCAAGGGCAGCGTGGCTTTGCTGGGAAACTCGGGGCCACAGCTGAGCCCAGGAGGTGACTCAGGCACTGGGACTCCTCTGGGAGAAAAGAATCTGTGTGTAACAAAGGGAACCAAGAAGAAAACTATTCGGGCTCTAGAAGTTTCCCCTCGTGAAGTCTTGCTTAAAGTGTGATTCATGGACCAGTGCCGGTCTCAGTTGGTCCACAAGTTGAGAGTGAGCATTTAGGAACTTGTGTTGCAATTTGCAGTAACCACAATATCCAATCATGAGATCGACAGGCCCGGCTGCTCGACCAGGGTGTAGGGCAGTCTGGGCATCGCTGAGCTATGTGCAGAGGCGCATGTGGCCCAGACTGGGACTAGTCATGTGTACCTGGGCCACACATCTGTCTGCCAAGTACTGACAATGTGAAAACTAGTCTCTCAGCTGAGACGCTGTGGGAACCACTGCTTGCTGGCGGTGTATCTCTCACCTCATTTGTCTCCCCAGTCTGGTGTGGCTAGTGGTGAGAGTGTTGGTCGCACCCCCGCACCCCCCCCCCACCGCCAACCCCCGGCCGATGCAAGGCGCATGCGGCAGGCAACCAATGTGTCTCACATTGATGTTTTTCTCTCATTCTCCCCCTCCTTCCCTCTTCCCATTCTCTCTAAGAAAATCAATGGAAAAAATATGCTCAGGCAGGATTCACAAAAACAAAAAAAGGGCAAAAATGGTAAGTTTTGTGTATATTTTACCACAATAAAAAAAAAATCTTTCTTAAACTGAATGCTTCTGTTTCTGGAGTCAAACTGAACCTATCTGTTCCTTAAAAAAAAAAAAAATTAAGAATGTTGATATAATAATAATCACTGGATTGCACACTGTAAAGGGGAAAATGTTATGGTATAAAAGGATACTTTATGTGAATTTTATCTCAATAAAGCTATTTTTAAAAAGACAGAAAGATGTGGGTGGATGATGGGTTAAAATAAATGTTTAGATAGGTAGATTCATAAGTGGACACTTAGAAACACACATATTATAGGAATTGGCTCACACTAACTATTTTCAACCTTTTTCATCTCTTGCCATACATAAACTAATTACTAAAATTCTGTGACTCATCAAAAAATAGATATAATTTTGAGTCATTCACACTGGACAGCTATTGTTGTGTTGGCATTTTTTATTTGACAAGCTAAGGGAACAGAGGTCTGTGCCCCAGACTAAATAGTCAGGTACTGCATGTTTTAAACATTCTTGTGGCACGCAGGTTGGAAATCGCTGGCTTACACCATTATAGAGGCTGAGAGTGCCATGAGCAGCTGTCTGCAAGCTGGAGGACCAGGAAGGTCGGTGGGCTAATTCAGTCAGGGTCCAAAGGTGCAAGAATCAGGGGGCCAATCGTGTACCGATAAGTCCTGGTCCAAGTCCGAACACCGGAGAAGCAGGAGGGCCAGAGTCTATAGGCAGGAGAAGATGGATGGCCCAGCCCAGGCAGAGAGAGCAAATCCACCCTTTCTCCACCTTTCTTCTCAGACCCTCAGATGATTGGACGATGCCACTGCATTGGCGAGGGTGATCTTTACTGTCTACCAATTCTAATGCTAGTCTTTTCTGGAAACACCATGACAGACACACCCAGAAATAAAGACTTACCAGCTATCCCGGCATCTCTTAGCCTGGGTGAGTTTATGAAATTAACCACTATACACTCGTTCAACAACTGCATGCCTCACTCATCAGCCTGAAGACGGAACTGACCTAACACGGACCCTGACCCTGAAGCCAAGACAAGCCAGCAGAGAGAGAGATACGTGCACAGCTGATGGTGACTCTCTGGGCTGAAAACGTAATCAACCACTTGGACAAAGAGCGCTGCAGAGGGAGCAACCAATGCTTGTCTAGTTCACATCAGGGACTCCGCAAGACTGCGGGTAAGTTTCCCACTTCTCCCCTGCCAGTTAACACAGAGAGGTTTCAACATGGCTTTGGATACAATATTTTGACTTCCAGGCACTTTGCCTAGGTCCGTCCATGGACCAGACTGCTCTGTACGCAAGCAAGCAATGATTCAACACTCCCCACCCACCCCCCCAGACTGAAGGTTTGGGGCTCTGCTGACTTTGCTGACTTTGACTGAAACTAGCTTTGACATCCTAACGTCTGAGACAAATTTAGGGGAGGAGGGCCTCCCTGCAGGCTCGTCACAGGCCAAGATACTGAGCACCAGAGACACATTTTTTCATCTGGGCCTCCATGAAGGAAAAAAATCGAATCGGATGATGAAGCCACAGCAGGATCTTTGCATTCACGGGCCAAAGAGAATCATGAGCCAAACTGAACTGATAGAACGGCGAATGAAGTCATTAAAAGAAAGAACTCCACCAGCAGCTTTTCCGACGAGGGAAGTCAGACTTTTGGAGGCAATTTCTCAAATGGGGTTTATTTCGGGCCTTGACAATGAGCAGGAAAAGCATTTGGGATGCGTAGCTCTCTGAAGGCCTGGGAACAATGTGGAGGTCAAGATGGAATTATTTACACTTATCAGGGTGGGCCTAGCGTGGATGATTTAAACCTAAGCCAGCCCAACACATGCATCAGTCTCCACCTCCACTAACCTCTGGGTGCGTTTCTGACCAGACACATTTAATGACCCAACTTCAGCTGTATCTTCTGTCCAGAAAACATACTCTGCTCAAAACCCTTATTTATTTTTAAATATATTTTTATTGATTTCAGAGAGAGGAAGCGAGAGGGAGAGAGAGAGAGAAACATCGATGATGAGAATCACTGATCAGCTGCCTCCCATACGCCTTCTGGAGATCGGGCCCACAACCTTGATATGTGCCCTGACTGGGAATTGAACCTTGAACTCCTGGTTCATGGGTCAACGCTCAATCGCTGAGCCACACCAGCAGGGCCCAAAACCCTTTTTCCCAACTACTCCACTCTGTGTGTGTATGTGTGTGTTTTAAGTTACTTTAGCTAAGGCAACTTGTAACTGAAACCATGATTTCTAATTTTTGCCAGAAAGTTATTGACTGATTGGAGTCAAAAAGCTGGCTTCAGCCAGTTCCGGCCTGAGTGGAATGTGCCTTCCCCACCTCCCTGTGCTATAGACGCAGGGCCGTTGTCCATCACAAACCCCCAGCTCTCAAATCCGAGTGTTCACCATAAATTCCGAGGGCAAAGTCTGGCCCGAGTGTCTGCATCGCCCGTCCATGTTCTCAGACAACTCCCAGGCATCCTGATCTGCGTATGTCTCCCCAAAGGCCTGCACTGCAGACCCGCCAACAGCTGAAAGTTATAAATAGGACAGCGAGGGAGGGGGGTCGGGAAGCAAACTCTAACAAGGATTCGGATGCAGTGGGCCAAGAAAGCTCTTTGGAGGGACAAAGAAGGAAAAGAGCTGTGCTGTGCTTCCAAAACCAAGCAGAACGCGTCCCACCCACTTCACTCACTGACGAGGAGAACCTGAGGGATGTCTCTACCCCAGGGACACTACTCGGGGATGCCACTTCCTCACATACTATCTGATCCGGGTTAGTGGCTAGGGAGACGGGGAGAAGGCGGCACTGGTAGGCCCCTCCGGAACGGGAATGCCACGGGACACCTGAACGTGGCACAGTGGCACATGCTAACCACAAAGCATGACTTCATGGCCACGCGTGCCCATGGCAAGGACCGTTTCTGCTTGTTGGGGTGACTGGTTAACATCGGTCTTCCCAGCTGGACCCCAAACTCCACCTCTGTCCTGCTGGCTGCTGACCGCCCCCTGCCTCCTCCAATTCCTGGTATGTGGAAGGTGCTCACCACTTCCTACCTTCCCCGCCAGGTCTGGCCAGCCTCTGCGCCGCAGCATGAGCGTCCTCCTCGGCCCTTCAGGTCACTGTGCCGTGATGCTGTTTCTTCACCTGTCTCCTCCAGGGCTGTTATAGGCTCATCTTGGTCAGGTTCATGGCCCCAGTGCCTCGCATGCTGCCTGGCTCGCCAATACTTGTAGAACGAATAAATTGCTCCCTAAGGAAGACAGTTTTAAAAAGCTCACAATTATGACTCATACATTAACAACTTCGGACTTCCTGGTTTAGTCAGAATATCATACACTCCTTCCTTACAAATATTTCAGCTTGAGAATTATGAGTAACCTGTTCCTTTATAAAACTCAGGAGAGCCGACATGGAGGAGACGGCAGAAGAAGCAAAACCCTTCATCTCCTACAGGCTGTGTTTATCAAAACACAATTGGTTCACCCAGCTGGTGTGGCTCAGTGGTTGAGCATGGACCTATGAACCAGGAGGTCAGGGTTCAATTCTCAGTCAGGGCACCTGCCCAGGTTGCGGGTTCGATCCCCAGTGTGGGCCAATCAATGATTCTCTCTCATCATTGATGTTTCCATCTCTCCCTCTCCCTTCTTCTCTGAAATAAAAATATGAAATCAATAAAAATATATTTTAAAAAAACACAGAAAACACAATTGGTTCAGATGGAGCCCATGGTAAGCTAACACCCTCAGACTTCCTTTCCCATTTATGTTCTTCAGACCCCCACCCTCCATCCTGGGTGTGTGCAGTTAACTTAGTACCAGCAGGTGAGGTCCTTTTGAGTTACTGTCTCTATGGGAAGCCTGCCACCAAAGCCACCGGTTCCCACTGCCAAAACCTTGGTCCCTGGCTCTGGCAGGCTGCTCCCACCTGGGTGCCTGCCAGGGTTTTCCTGGCTTGTTCTCTACGCCTGAGAAGGAACAGCCTGGTCCCTCCGTGCTGTGGTACCCTCCTGTCTCTCAGCTGCCCCCAGGGTCACGGACTCTGGCACTGCCCCCTCCCTGGGGGTGGCGCCCACATTTCTCCCGAGGCTGCTCTGCAGTGCCTGCTCTTGCTATGTGGGCAGAGCCGTTAGGTACAGTCTGGGTGCCTTTTCCTTCAAGAATTCTTTTAGAAAGGTGTCTCTTTCCCAGTGAGGGGGGAGGTGGGAAACTTCACGATCATTATATAGTTTCTCAAACTCTAACTTATGATCCTTCAATGGGATATAAAATCGATTTTGAGGGCTGGGCCAGCATTGAGTGTACAAAACCGAAGTTCACTATAAACAGGAGAAGTAAGGAGTGAGTGTCATTTGTTTTAGTTGAAGGAGAGAGATTTACGGTGAGGAGCTGGCTTATGTGATGGTGGGGGCAGGCAAGTCTGAAACCCACAGGCCAGGCCGCCAGGAGCTGGGCTGACCTTCCAGCTGACCTTCCAGCTGAAGCTGCCGTCCACCGGCGGAATTTCCTCTCCTTCAGGGAGGCCTCAGCTCTGGTCTTAGGCCTGTAACTGGTCAAGCCAGGCCCACCCAAACTACCAGGAGAATCTTCCTCATTTAAAGTAAACGGACTGCAGACCTAAACCACATCTCCAGGTTACCTTCACAGGTACACCCAGCTTCATGTTTGAATTGCTGGAGACTGCAGCCTAGCTAAGTTGACCCATAAGAACAGATACAGAGGTGTAGGTGTGTGTGTTTTAACTGTAAAATATTATGGTGGTACCTTATATTAATATATTTGAAAGTCTCAGTGTAACAGATCATTTTCTGAGAAAAGATAAATTAGTAAATTTGTCTCAAAGAGAAGTAAAAAAAAAATTGCAGCGACCAACCAGCATGGAAGAGAGCAAACCAGTTTCCAGCAACTGCCTCCCTGAAAAAAGGCGTTGGGGTCAGACGGCTGTCACGGCATGTTCTTTCAAGAACGTTCATAGAACAGATAATTCTCACATTATGTAAACTGTTCCCAAGTGCAGAAAAAGACGGACTACAATCCAATTCATTTTATAAATCTAGCAGAGCACTAAGCCCAAAACCTAAAAAAGGACATGATATGAAAGTGACTACATTAATTTCATAATAAATAAAGATACAAAGTTAAATCCTGACTAAACATCAGCACGCTGAATTCAACAGTAAGTGCAGCAAAGGATATGACTGCTTCTGGGTGGCACTGTAGGCTGCACACGCCCCTGCCATTTGCGCAGCAAGGATGCATGCACTTCCTGTGGGCTGAGTGACAACTGCAAGGGGCACTGGTACCTCCCCCAAGAGGGCAGCCCACTGAGCAAGCAACACCCCGCACCCTATTCTCCCCCCGGTCCCAGCAAGAGGATAGACCTCAGCTTATAGGAGAGTTGACTGAGGGGGTGAAAAGAATTTTGTCTCCTACATCTGGGATCAGTGCCATGGGGAGCTCACAGCTCATAGCGGGTGTTTGAAAGGTGAAAAAACCCCTATAAATATGGGGCCAGCGGAGCCCAGATTATTTGAAACAAAGAAAATCTGTTCCCTGTGCCGTGGGGGGAGCTCTTCTTTCTTTCCCAAGGTGGGAGCTGTACTTGTTATGCCCCAGTAGGGAGAGGGCAGGCTGTTAAACACTCAGGAGGCAGGAGGTGCTATTGATATCTGAAACCCAAGGAGCCAGCAGCATGTCAACAATCAATAGCTTTTCTCACCAGTTTAAAAATCCCCATAGCTCTGCCTCAGATGCTTTTACTCAGTAATGACAGGGGTAGCCTACAAACAGGGCTGTGCATCAGCCACTGAAAAGAAACACGTTTAAAGAACGTTGCTGTTTGCTTGGAGTGGAGTGTTTCATGTTCCATTCAGCCATTAAAGTGCAGGGCTCGAAGAAGAGGAGGCACTGATTGCAGGGGGAGGTGGGCAGAGCGAGGCTTCAGCTACCTGTAACAATGACCCTGGAGGATGAAAGGGCCGAGGATGTCCCAATCGGCATTTGCCCAGGAGCGCTAAGGCTGCCTGGGCGAGGGTCGCCAGTTGTCCAACATATATTTACATTATGCTCCATACTTATGGCACCCCCTTTCCTTCCTGCCTAAACTTCCCTGGATTATCCCCTCCACTTCTTTGTCCTGATGCCTCTAGGATCAGCTCCCAGCCCAGACCTCTGCCTCCAGGCAGACCATCTAGGTTTTTTCAGCCCCATCTGTCTCTGCCTGCATGTCCCAGGCACCCGGCACATCATTTTTACCTAATGAAAAGGGGTCAATATCAGTGATTGTGGAATGTGAGACACACACACTAAGGAGAGAGAGATTATTTCCCCCTCTAATGGCCAGGAAGGCTTCCTGGAGGAAGAAACACTGGGGCTTAAGGGGGAGCAGGCTTCGGTGAGTGAAGAAGGGGTGTGAGGTAGGACAGAAGTTACAACAAAGTCAGAGCCAGGAGCTCTCAAAGCAACTCCTGCTGTGGTCCATGGAGTTACCATCCACGTGGCCTAGACTTGGAAGGACTGTCCACCCCTTGTCTTCCTGCCCCTCCATGCCTGGCCCCTCACTGAGGCTGGCTGAGTCTCCTGACATGCTCCTCCCCTGGTGGCCCCCTTTCTCCATCTCTTCAGCCACTTGTGCATGGTAGCCCGGGGTCGGGTGGGGGTGAGGGGTTGGGAGGTAAGGCAGCACTATTCCTATTTGCAGAGGAAGAAAAGGGGCTCAAAGGGGATAACTAATGGTATTGTTCCCTCTGCTTTGAAGATGCCTTTGAATTATATATATATGCGCGCACACACACACATTTTACAGATTTCAGAGAGGAAGGAGAGATAGAAACATCAATGATGAGACAGAATCATTTATTGGCTGCCTCCTGCATGCCCCACACTGGGATGGAACATGTGCCCTGACCGGGAATGGAGCCTGACCTCATGGTTCATAGGTAGACACTCAACCGCTGAGCGTCGCCGGCCGGGCTCCCTTGGAGTTGATTTGAGGCAGGGAGAGAAGAGGATGGTGGTCATCTGTGCTTCCCCCAGGCTCTGGGACTAGGTGAGGCACGTTCCCAGGGGCTGAGGGACGACAGGGTGCCCGGAGGCTCAGCTGCTAGGAAAAAGAGTGTGTGTGCAGAATCTAATGAGCAAGTCCTCCAGAGCCCGCTGGAGACGGGGCCTTTCAAGGGCTCTGGAAGGTCCGTGAGGAGAGGTTTCACTTCCCTGCCAGCTCTAGGTGCATTTTCACCCAGCGGGCCCCACAGGGGAGACTAGAGCAAACGATTTTTTTTTTTTTTTTTTGCCCTGACTGCTTGTGAAATTGAGAATATTTTTAGCAGATTTGAAAGCTCTGGAGACAAACCCCATTACTCGGTGCCTGGCTCATAGCAGGCACTCAATAAAGCTTTGTTGAATGTTGCTGAAATGTTGCTCATTGCACAAATGCTCCTTCGGTGCATGTGCGCATGAGGGGATTTGATGAAGATGTCAGCCAGCCTGACCGTAAAAGGCAATCTTTAGGATGCCATAAAAAGGAACACGGACAATAGCTAGGATGTCATCCGTGAGCGTCATAAATATTCCCCTAAGTTCCTTACCCATCAGGAAACCGCATCACGTGCACTTTCAAAGCCAGTGGCCTGCTTCAACTTTATGTAAAATGCCAGCTTTTTATGGGATCTGATTGGGTTTGCAATTAACCAAAGTGCACAACAGTCACGTGAGCCGTGATTGATTTGTGGGGCGTAGAGCGTGCTTTAGAGAGTTACGGAGGCAGAGCGAGCGAGCCATCAGGGTTACAAGCGCCACCAAGCCCTGTCACTTTGGCTTCAGAACACTGCTGCCTGGTTAAAAATGTGGCTGCTTTACTCAGTGCGTCAGCCAGTGCTTGCTGCGCGCCCGCTGTGTGCCACGCATGGCGCTGGAGATGGGAGTTGAGAAGACAGAGGTCTTGCCCCAGGGGCTCACAGCTTAGACAGAGGCAGACAATGACAACGAAGTGTCATCAGGGCAGTGAGAGAGGCAGACCCAGGTTACCAGGAGAGGACAGGGAGGGAGCAGCAATCTGTGAGCTGGGTGGGCAAGGAGATGGTCAGGAAAATCGAGGAACTTTGTGAGGAGGCAGAAAGCAGGGCGAGGGGCCTCAGGGACCAAGAAAGGCAAGGCCTTGTTGGAGAGCTGGAGGAATGGTGGGATGAGTGGAGGCTTCCTCAGAATGGAATCTGTCTCT